TTCAAGAATTCTTTACTACAAAATGTCTAGTTGAGTTACAGAACTAGAGGAGTATTTGCCACTACAAAGCAAGTGAATGAGTCCTCCTGCAGAGTGGCATTCAAGGGTCACTGCAGGAGTGGGCAGCAAAGCTGAGCAGGGGTCTTCCTTGCCCTCAGGGAAAAGGGTGTTAAGGAAACGTGTCATGTCATTTCTCTGACTGATGGAAGGTTGACTGATGTGTCTGCTGATTTACAAGATGGGTGTGGTGATACTGACTTGCACTCTTGATTCTTCCTTCATGAGCTTTCACCAGGAGGACAGTAGCATCATGAGGAGGGGCTAGAAAAGTGCTCAGATGGGGTGGGTGCCCACCTCCTAGCAGCCAGGGGTGATGCCTCCCCCTCCTCCGGTTGGGATGGAGCCTGGTGTCCAGACTTGGTCTTCAGGACACAGGTTCTGGAGTATGATAGAGTAACATCACTGCCACACAGAGCCATTCTGCTCTGTGGCTGGCAATGCATTTCCAAACTGCCCTCAAATACAAACCCTATGCCCTTGTGAGCCAACCTCTGGACCTTTCTGTCCAGCCCATCCCCTCTCTGAAATCAGAACCGCCTCCCTCCAGCTTTAAGGACCACATCAACATGAAAACTTCAAATTCAGAGTTCCCTAATGACACAGATACCCAGGATGATTTAGGTGTGCCTATGTGACACATGGCTGGTGACCTATTGAATGGGTAGGCCCGTATACCTTCAGCTATGAAAGCCTCCCTGGGTGACTGAGACTGTGGAGCCCACCCCTGGCTCTGACAATGAGTCTGGTGGCTGTTTGGGGTTCATCACAATGGGGCAGGCATAGTGGGATGTGTGCAGCTCAGTGGAGGCAGGGAGGAATTGGGAGAAAGGAGGGGATGCCAGTGGGGAACAAAAGCCCTAGTGTGGAAGAGCTGGATGAAAGTTCAGAGCTCATCTTATCAAAGACCCTCACTTTACAGATAGGAAACTGAGACATTGAGCAAGAATGTGACTCATCCTCAGTCACATGGTGAGATGGAGACAAACCCACATGTCCAAGAGCCTCAGTCCTGTGTGTGATCTTCCTGTAGTATGCTGCCTTCTGAGATCAAATATGAAACCCAGGAAGATGTATCTATCTTATTGAATCAGTCATTAAAATGCTGCATTTGTAGGAAACAGTATTTGAACCCTGAAATGTACTTCATTGAAACACAACCAGCTTACTTGAAAATACTCCAGAGCAAAATTTCCCAGGTTTGGAGAAGATGGTGGAGGAATGTATAGAGGAGGTGACCTGTCAACTCTTCCTAGAGCAGTTGCTTCCTAGGGCCCAAGCTATCAGCAGCTCTTTGGGGATTCCCTTGGGTCGGGTCCACAGTTGCTTGTGGATGGAATCTGATGATGGGAGGCTGGTGGCAGACAAGGTATTTCTGAACAAAATGGATTGTTTGGTGGTAGGGTTATTGGAATGGATATTTCTCTGTGCTTGGGGAGCATGAGGCTCTCCAGTCTTTTGGGACAGAGGGAGATCTGTGACACACGCAAGCAGCACAGGCAAAAGTGAGGTGAAACAGCAGCTGAGGACCCTCAAAGATATGAATCTTTGGCCAGAGCAGGCACCTCTGGGCTAGTGGCGGGCTGAGCAGGAGCTTCAGGGGACTTGCTGGCTACAGGAATCAAAGCTGCTCTTGAACCATGATGCTTCTGATGGGCAGCTTCTTTCCTTTCCCTCCCAAAGACCAGAGTGGGAGAGCCCTCGGCTCTGTGCCCTGGGGTATCAGCTCGCAGGGGATGAAAGTGGAGGATGAACCAATGAGGCAAACCAAAGACCTGAGGGATGTTTTGTTTTTCCTTGTTGTCACTGAAAGCTCAAAAGTTTTAGAACTAGAGTGTGTAACAGGACTCAGGAAAAGAAATGAGGGATGGGGGAAGGTAAATGGAGGAAGAAGGCAGGGCCAGGAAGATGAGGAAGGACTTCTGGCACAGAAGACTGAGGCTAAGATGGGAATTTTGGAGTATGAGGGTGGAAAGATGGGAGGAGAAATTTGGATTAAGGAAAGGGTTGGAACTTTTTAGAAGGCAGACCCATTGCCCAAGACACTGGGGAGCCATGAGGGCAGAGACCTAGTTAGGAGAATTCTTGGGAAAGCCTTTGTGACTTATGAACTCATGGAGTCAAGAGTTAACTGGAGGAAGCGAGATAGGAAAGGTGGAAATGCATGACGGGCTGTGGGAGCTTCACTGCCCTCAAAGGCCAGGGAGACCAGCGAGAACCTTCAGGGCAGGGGACAAGCTGTGCAGACCCAGTCCATTGCCTACAGAGCGATGGAGACTTTCACAAAGAACAAAACAAGCAGAGCGAAGTCTCAGGCCTTGGGCTTCCATTACTGGGGAAGGGCTGGTCTTTCTATGTGTGGCCTGGTGGGGCTGGGAGTCACGACATCTGGGTTCTAGCCCCAGAATCTTCTCCTGTCTGCTGTGCGAGTGTGCCTGGTACTATGGTTTTCTTCTCCTGCACACATTGACGGGGCAACTGAATAAATGAGATATTTCTGTGTGCCAGTTAAGACATAATTTATGGATTTTGAAATGAAGGACTAAATTGGAGCACGTTTGTAGGCTTCTCTCTCTCTTTTCTTCCCTCCCTCCATCCTTCCCTTCCCTCCTTCCAGACCCAAGGGTGAGGCAGGAGAATCTTTTAGAAGTAAAGGTTCAGGTAGAGTTTTCTGATCCAACTGATGCTAGAGGTTTTAAACTGGGCAGTAGTAAGGCTAGGATGAGAAGTGTTTTGGAATCAGCCTATCAACCCCTGAGATACAAAGGGCTGGGGAGAAGTGTCATCCTGAGGGCTGGAACGCCTGATGCTGAGAAGATACCTCTATCATGGAATAAGATCAGGTTTCTGGTTTGGGGTGTACATGTGTGTGGACACCTGGGGAGGGGATTCTCCCCCACCCACATCCTTTCCCCTCCAAACCAGCAGGCAGGCTTCAAGGCTGGATTAGAGGATGGTGGGCTCAGGGGGCCAGGTATACAATCCCTTTGTTTCTGGGAATGGCCAACTGCTCTATTTATGGTGATTTTCTGCAGCCCACACCTCTTAGCCTTGCCTTCTGGAGCACTCCCATAAACCCTTGGGGACCAGCCCTTGAGGAGGTTTATGTATTTTGTAGGGGAGGGCAGTAGAGAGTTATCCCTGTCCTCACAGCCTCAAAGTCCCTGGGCCACCATCCAGTGGGGTTGCTGGGGGCTCTGTTCATCACCCCAAGCCTGAATCCCAAATGTTTCATGAGATGCTGAGCCTCCAGGGGAGAAAAGAGCTTTGGAATTCTTGAAATAAGTAAGAGGACTCAGTCAATGGATATATCTGTGAACTGTGGATTTGGTTAGATTAAAAATTCCCAGGACTGACCCTGCGGAGTTCTCCTTGCCCCACCCCCTTTAAAGGGCCCTACATATATACAGAACTGGGGAAATCTAAAGATCCCAGTTCAAGGTCACTGCTTCTTGAGTCTGACTGTGGCAACAGTCACATTTTTAGTATTATCCCTTCACCCAATAGTCTGGAGCTGATTCCCCCAGCTCCAGCCCAGGGAGGTGCCCTGGCCTTTAGAATGGGGAGCCCCTTCTCTCCCGCCAGGCTCTGGTCTTGGGGGAGTGGATGCTGTTTACTTCACTGTCCACTCTCCAGGAGGCTGTCACACCTTGCCCATGCCCCAGGCAGAACTGGAGCTGAGATCGGCTGGCAGGGGCATTCCCCCAACAGGAAATGGATCTGCCTGGTGCCCGAATGCCCCTGCAGGGGAGCAACTGGGGGAGCTGGCAGGGGCATTCCCCCAACAGGAAATGGATCTGCCTGGTACCCGAATGCCCCTGCAGGGGAGCAACTGGGGAGCTGCCGGGTTAAGCCCCAGACCAGTAGCCTGAAGTACCATTGTCTGCATTTGCTAATGGGTCTCTGTTGCTCTGATCCCCTGGAGGCACTGGTCTGAAGCAGTAGCAGCCAGGAGAGAGTAATGGAGCTGCAGGAGGGTGGGAGGTGGGGAAAGGGAAAATAGGCAGAGGGAGTGGGTTCTAAGCAGAGAAGGGGCCAAGCAGGCAGGCAGTGATAGGGAGAGAGTAGTAGGCAAGGTGCAGGACAGCCACTTGCGGTCCCCCTTGGTTGAGGGCTGAGCCACTTTTCTGGGAGCATCTGCATCAGTCCTGCCTTATGGGCATGGTGGGAGACAGGCAGAGCCCTGGACAATGGGAATGGTGAGTCCCTGACACCCAGGGCATCACAGTGGCCCTCCCCACCTGCCACTCTGGCCATGGGCAGATGCCTCCAGGGTGCAGAGCAGGGGAGGGAAAGGCAGGCCTGAGTGGCAGGTCATAGTTCAGACCTAGAGGCCTGGAGGAAGTGTGGAGATAATCAGGTTGCAGAGGCACCCCAAAGGTCCTGGTACCCTATTGCTCCTCTCCTCTGGGAGGGCTACAGCAAAGCCCTAGAGAACTCAGGAGTCGAACATCTAGGGCTAGGGGTAGGGCAGAGTCCTCAGAGGAGGGGTGGGGGGTCCTTGAGGGTGGGGCAGCCAACTAGAACTGGGCAGGCTTCCCAACAACAGGGAGGCAGCTGAAGGAAGGGACACCCCCCCCCTTTCCTGGGGCTGGGGAGAGGGGCACAGGGCCAGACAGGGCCCAAGGGGGTCATTGAAGGAAGGGCCATTCGGTGGGGACCAGAGAGTTCCAGCAGGCAGAAGAGAATCATTATTGTGCTTATGGACATGGCAGCTCCCTGGCTCTGAGAGCGAGCAGGCAGTTTTTAGGCACTAGAAGATTTCTGTGATGCAGATGTCAGTCAATGAATGGACCAAGTAGCCTAATGGGTCAGCCCATTGACTGCACCTGCTGGCCAGCTCAAACCCAGGCAGCTCCCGACCAGGGCCAGGCCAGGAGCTCTTGGCTGAGGAAACTGAAGCTGAGCCTGCAGGATGGGGAGAGGGGGCCTGGGACTGAAGAAGATTGGTGATGGTGGGGGTGGTGAGACTGGGGCCTCACCCCTCACCTCACTCCCCTTCGACTCTTCTGGAAGAATGAGAGTGTTTGCTGTAGATCCCAAGTCTGAGTGTGCAGTGCCAGGACACGGGCCATGTGCCTGGGGGGTATGGCTTTCTGGGCAAAGGCTGCCATCACCAAGGCCTACAGAGGGGACAAGGGCAGGGAGCCGTGCAGGGCAAGCAGCTCTGCTCCAGGCCTCTCCTGACCCCTGCCCTGTCCTGCCTGCAGCCCATCCCCGCCCTGCCAGTCACACAGTCACTTCGGTCTTGCTGGCTGTGTAGCAGGTGTAGTGGTCTGGGATGTAGTCCAGCTGCTCCACCGTGTTGTGTCTGCACGAGGCGAAGGCCTGGCGCTTGGCTGTCGTCTGGCTCTGGCCCAGGGTGGCATAGGAGTTATTGGAGGCACTGGGATGGGAGTGCATCTTGGTCATGCAGTAGCAGTCCAGCACAGGCGTGGACACAAAGACGTCTGTGTGCGAGATGGCCCATGACAGGGACTGCTCTGGGAAGGCCGTCCGCTCTGGGCACAGCAGTGGGTCCTGGGAATGCAGGCGCTCCATGGAGAGCAGCTGCTCGTCAGACAGGATGCGGTCATAGGGCATGCTGAACTCCTCCAGCAGGCCCCGCTGGGGGGACAGGACCCTGTCCTGCGACATGGCCCGGATGGGCCGGCGGGGCCGCTTGCATGTTGGGACATCTGGATGACGTTGAGAGGGAGGGTACCACGGGCAGCCAGGTCAGGCAGGTGCTGCCTCCTCATGTAATACTCATCAGCCTCCTTGTCAGCTGCAGAGGAGACACAGAGAAGTAGCTGGGGTGAGACCTCAGCTCTGCAGTTGGGCCTGAGCAGGGACCCTGCAGCCCAGAAAGGTGGAGGCAGTGCTTTCCACTGCACGTGCACACCTAGCATCCTGTTAGATGCAGATTCTGATTCAGAACCCCTCATCTGGAGGGACCTGAGAGTCTGTGTCTTTACTGCTTCTGCCACACCATGGTTCTGAAACAGAATGGCTCCCTGGCTTTGCGGAAACACCCAAGGAGCTTTCCAGTGAGAACCACACTCCAGCTAGAATAAAATAAGACACTTCAACCAGGAGGCACTTGTGAAAAGGCGTAGCTGGTAACTTAGGAACATAGTAACACCTTCTCTGGAGTAACAGCCAATGCATAGGAAGTCAGCACATGGGCATCCAGCCTCCACACAGCCACAGAGTGGAGCCTACATACTTGGCTTGCCTGCAGTATGAGCAGGCCAGAACATCCTATATACATGCCCTATCCAGACCCCCCAACCTGCTTTCCATCCAGGAGGCCCTGCCAAGCTCACACTGCCTTCTGGACCCTTGAACACACATAGGACACACAGCTCACTTTGCCCCATGTTCTGGGAATAAGGCTCTTCCTACACATGGCCTTCCAGATCTCTGCAGAATGTGGGAATATTGACTGCTGCTTGGTTTTCCCAGGAGGTCACTGGCAGGTAGCCCCTGCCTCCTGATCCCCTCATCCCAGGCAGGCATCAGATTCTTCGGATCAATTAGGGATCCCCACTTCTAGCCATAGAAACTCACTGTTCTACCTTGTAGGCGGCTGCTGTGGACTCATGGGCTTTCTAACAGGGTAGGTTACCCTGTAGCTTCCGGCAAGTGCTCAGCATGGCACTGGGTGACCATCAGAACAGACTTGTGTGGAAATGGGGACAGAGACCCAAGACTCAGAAAGCTAGGAGAGAAGAGCTGTCCCACCACATACCCTCTTGACATTCTAATGTGTTAAGCCCATCTGTTCCCCAAGGCTCCCCAGACTCAAATGGCAGAGCTGGGTCATTGGATAAACCAGACTCAACTGATGAAGTGGGCGTGTGTGGGGGTGGGGAGTCTCAGGGTCTCAGGACTGTGGGGGCTGGGGGGGGGGGGAGCCCATTTGTGGGCCAGTCCACAGCCAGGTGTCTGGGTTGGGTCTCAGAGAAAGCTCTGGCACTGGTCGCCTCTACTCCAAAAGACATGGGAAGTGAGAAAGGCTCCTGGTTTGAAGAAGGCAGCTGTAGGGTGAGGCTAGGGAAAGACTTTCTCTTGCAGTTAACCTGGTGTTTGAGTTGAAGCAGTGCCTCCTGTGGGAAAACAGGTCTGAGGATTCCATGGCCTCTCTTCTGTCTTTGGGGAGAATAGACTCACGCCATCCAGGACACCAGCAAGGGGCTTGCCTATGCTCGCCTTCCAGGCTACATCTCTGTTCTTAGGGCTCCACTGGTCCCCTCAGGTGGACGGCAAGGCAGTGCAGCACAGGGGGTACTGCGGGGCACTGAGGTAGACCCCAATGCAGGGAAAACCCCACTTACTTAGCCTTTTTAGGGAGGAGTACTTGCTGGGGTGGCTCTTCACTGCAGACTCATAGGACGGGGGCAGGTGGGCCAAGTTCTGGAAGGAGCGGTAGAAGGATAGGTCACAGGGCTCGGTGGCTGACATCAGGATGTTGTTCATCCGTGGCTTCTCTGCAAAAGAAGGGAGGGGTGCATGGCATTAGTGAGGACCCAGGAGGAAAGGGTCCAGGTTCTATCATCCCCATCCTGCTTTCCTGGACCCTGTGCAAGGACACAGGCAGTGAGGGTGACTCTGTTTCCCTTACGCTGGGGGCAGGTGCTGCTTCAGGTGCCGCTGGCACGCTGGCAGTTTGCTCTTCCTGGCAGGGCAAACTCCTTCCTGCACAGTCTGTCTGGTGGAAGTGTAAGCCTGCTGGAGCTGAGGGGAGTCATAAAAGCATCTACAGCAGTGTGAAGGTTCTGTCTACTCCCTGGTGGCTTTAGGCAAACCCAGCCCTCACGCTCAGAAAAACCTGACTTTGAACGAGGAGTGACGGGTCTTGTTCGCATGCCCGTAGAAGTGGGTCCAGGACCAGCTCCTGTGAGACTCCACGCACACTGTCTGTGATGTCATTTCACCTCTCACATCGTCCCTTCCACTTGGGCCTATCCAAGACCTGCACCCTGCAAGCCACTAGGAGCTAAAAGCCAGTTTCTCATTGCAGTTCCTTCCTCCAAAGCTCCTGTAGCCATATTGGAGCCTCTAGAGGGAAGAATGTAGGCAAAATACTTAGCACATTATGCCCCTTCTCTCCCTCCTTCCCTTGAGATTCCAAAATCTGAAGAGAGAGAAGGGAGTGTTGTTCAATGCCAGCCCTGGGAAAAAGGGAGGGGGAAGGAATGGAAGAAAAGATGAGAGACAGATGAGGAGAGCGAGCTGGGCTGGCTCTGGGGGCAAGATTACCAATAGCACAGGTGTGGGGGGAGAGGAGATGCAGGTGTGGGTGAGGGAGTGGGCAGAAGGGAGTGGAGATATGGGGAAGGGAGACAAGCATGCACTGGAGCTTGGCAGACTTGAGGCACAGCAAGAAGTCAACACACAGGGGAACAGTGGTACCATTCTCAGAATGAGGGGGGAGGGCGCCTCTCGCATCGGTCCTCCATCCTCTCGGTTTGGGGCCTCCAAGAAGGGGCAGGCTCTGGCTTTGGACCAGTGTATCAGAGGACTGTGGCTTCCCATCTCTCTTGGCAAAGAGCATGCTGAGCCATAGAAGACTTCTCTATCCCTCTGCCTTCACTGGTACCCCCAACACTGGGGACGGAGCCAGGGCACTCAGCCAATGAGCCAGTGCTCATGCCAACTCAGTACATATGTGAGGGGGTGGGAGACACCCTCCATCCCTGAGAGATCAGAACATGCTGTACAGAAAGTGCCTCTCTGGCATGGATCGGGACAAGGTGCCAGGAAGTGGAGTGGGCAGGAAGCGGGGAGCATCACTACCCAGAACTGGGTAATAGCGACCAGTCCCTTAGCTCTTGTTCATTCACTTTTGGTTCTGCTGGAGAACAATCTTCCCTCTGCCTGTTGGCATCATGCTGCCATGGAGGGCATCACTCAGTTCACCCACCTCCAAATTGCAACATTTCTGGATGCTCTGACTCCACACTGTGCTCTACAACATGCTGCTGCATGAAGGCCAGCTCTTCTGTGGCCTCTCTCTGTGCCTGCACCCTTGGTCATGCTGTCTCTCCTATTGCAATGCCCTTCCTTACCCTTCCTGTAGCCCGCTCTCCCTTCACTCAAGACCCTTCCCTATGACAATGTCACATCTTAGCTCCAGTGACTTCTGTTCTTGCAGCCCCTACAGCTCTTCTACTCGGCATCACCAGTTTAGTGTCTACATGATCTCCAATCATTTGACTTGAGTTGGTCTTGCTGATCCTCAAAGACTGCAATCTCCTTGACAGCAGAAGTCTTGCTTTCCAGTTTTTCTGTTGCCCTCTTAGTGTGTGTGGCCCAAAATAAGGATCCAATGAATGCTCTTTGGTTAATCATGTAGACAGTCTTGCCTCCTGTCTTCATAGTCACTGTACCAGCTCCTGGGAAAAGTGTGACATTCAAGGAAGGAATGCAGAGGAAACCCTGCTTCCACTAGGCTGTGAGCTGCTCAAGGGTGGAGACTGGGCCTCATCTACCCTCATCTCCTTGCACTGGGTGGGAAAAGAAAATAAGAAGGGAGGAAGGAAGAATGGCTCCTGCTTTTGTATTCAAAGGCTATGCTTGTGTTGGCTCCTTCTGGGGAAAACCAGCTCACTGTTGCTCTTCCAGAATGTTACTGAGCAAGCACAGCACTCCCTGCTTGCGTTTTCTGGCTCCTTTTCCTGCTGCTGCTTCATCACCAGGGGCATCCCCCAGGCTCTCTGCCTCTGCCTTCTGCTTTTCTCTTTCAGCCTTCTTGCACAGATTGCCCCCACATTCCCAAGGCTTCTGTTACTGCTTCCTAAGTGTACCTTACGTCTTCAGCTGTAATGTCCCTCCAGACTTCACGTCTGCATTTACAGCTGCCTGTTGAATTTTTCTTTCATGTCCTGTGGTCATATCCAGATCCAGGTGTGAAGATCCGAGCTCATGATCAACAGCTCCATTCCTTGTACACACTGGCTGCTTTCTTGATTCCTCAGATGGTATTACTGAGTCTCCCCCATTCTTCTAATTGACGATGGTTCTTCATTTTACTCATAATTGACTCACATCAACCATATTCAGTTAGTAACTATGTTTTCCCAATTTCTGCTACAGAATGTTTCCAATCTGAACCCTTCTATTTCCATTGTTAGCAGCACCAATTGCATCAGCTTCTTTTAGCTCATCTCTGCAATTTCTCCTGGTTCTAATTTTTCCTAGACCCCCACCACTTGAACGATCTTGTTAAGCTGTTGTTTTCATCACATATATCCACTAAGAGTCTAGCACTGGAGGGGGACATTGAAATAGTCCACTACTATCCTCCTAATTATAATGTCCCTCAATCTCAATGCTGAAGCAGAACATAATCTGACATGAGAGTGATTAGGTCTCTCTGCCAAATGAGCTATAGCATTTATCTTTGTTTTGAGTTTCTCTCTAACATTTAATGATGTTTTCAGTCCTTCACAGCAAAGACAGAAGAATGACTGATAGTTCACAGTGTCCATGGCTGTCTTATGTTTTATCAAGTTTGAGCAGGTACCAAAAATAGTTTTTCTCTGCACTTCCAGATGTTAAGTTGTGATCTGGTGGGAGAGTGTTACATTCTAAGAGGGAGACATGGTTTTGTAACCCTTTGGCATTATTCTGACAGTCCCATGA